CCCTGCCGCAAAGGGCGAGCACTCATTGGGTCAGCATGGTCACCTGACCAATGAGAGGCACTGCTGGCTAAGACAGGAGGCAGATCTGTGTAACTTCATTTCCTCACATTTGGTGGGAGTGGACGTCGCCTTTAAGACTGAACGTATGAAGTTCCTGCAGCCTCCCCGACATGTTTCATCCCTCAGACCCGCCCCCATGTATGTTGCCCCTCTCTGGACTCGCTCTATCTTCTACTGTGCCATCCACAAGTATAATGTCACCAGTCTGCTGCAGGCAAGAGGAAGCAGTTCCTCACTCTCCCCTCCCCCAGTGATCAGTCTGCTGCAGGCAGGAGGAAGCATTTCCTCAGTCTCCCCTCCCCCAGTGATCAGTCTGCCGCAGGGCGGAGGAAGCATTCCCTCAGTCTCCCCTCCCCCAGTGATCAGTCTGCTGCAGGCAGGAGGAAGCATTGCCTCAGTCTCCCCTCCCCCAGTGATCAGTCTGCTGCAGGCAGGAGGAAGCATTTACTCAATCTCCCCTCCCCCAGTGATCAGTCTGCTGCAGGGAGGAGGAAGCATTCCCTCAGTCTCCCCTCCCCCAGTGATCAGTCTGCAACATTGTGGCAAATCACAAGTCGAGAGGATGCAGCAGGGGCTGATCTGTGTCAGACAATTGAGAACACAGCCAAGAACTGCACAGACACCGGGATTTACATGATTCTAAGACGACATCTCAGTCCAGGAAGTAGATGATTTGCTATTTATTAATAAACTCGTTTTTATGGAAGAATATCTTTGAGGGCAGTTTGTGGGTATTTTTCCAAAATGTATGAAGTACAAAAAATCATCTTAAACAAGAAGAACAGAACACAGGTACCAGGTATCCGCATGTATTTAATCAGCTTCAACATGGAGATACAATATGTGATTATCTTCCTGAATTGAATCACGGGACTCCGCGTGCTGTGAGCGCCTCTCTGCCATCCACATGTATGATCGTGACTTCCAGGCAATCTCCACCCAGTGATCAGTCATTATAGATTGTCTGTACAGTATACGGCTAGTCCTGATTTTACACACACACACTAATATATAAGGGTGCACTTATAAACAGAGTCACGGCATGTACATTCACTCCGTGTGAATGGAAGGAAGACGAATGTGAGTGTATTTTCTGTCTCGGTTTCATGTAATACCATAATATGGCCACTAGATGGCGAGGTAATGTCCTGTGCTCCTCAGCTCCATCTAGTGGCCATAATGTGATATAACATTGAACTGCGAAAGGTAATACCACATTATGGCCACTAGATGGAGCATAGGACATTATTACTTCCTTATTGTGCTCCTCTGCTCCATCTAGTGGCCATAATGTGGTACTACGATGGTATTGTCTTTCTCAGTTCAATGTAATATCACATTACGGCCACTAGATGAAGCCGAGGAGCACCAGAAGGAAGTAATGTCTTCAGCTACATGTAGTGGTCATATTATGGTATTACATTCAACTGGGAAAGACAAAACAAATCGTAATACCACATTATGGCCACTAGATGGAGCATAGGACATTCATATTTCCTTATTGTTCTCCATCTAGTGGCCATAATGTGATATAACATTGAACTGCGAAAGGTAATACCACATTATGGCCACTAGATGGAGCATAGGACATTATTACTTCCTTATTGTGCTCCTCTGCTCCATCTAGTGGCCATAATGTGGTACTACGATGGTATTGTCTTTCTCAGTTCAATGTAATATCACATTACGGCCACTAGATGGAGCCGAGGAGCACCAGAAGGAAGTAATGTCTTCAGCTACATGTAGTGGTCATATTATGGTATTACATTCAACTGGGAAAGACAAAACAAAATCGTAAAAACCACATTATGGCCACTAAATGAAGCGGATGAGCCTAGGACATTAATATTTCCTTATTGTGCTCATCTGCTCCATCTAGTGGCCATAATGTGGTATTACAATGGTATTGTCTCTCAGTTCAATGTAGTACCACATTACGGCCACTAGATGGAGCTGAGAAAATTAATACTTCCTTCTTGAGCTCCTCCGCTCCATCTAGTGGCCATAATGTGGTATTACATGCAACCTAGAAAGAAGTGAATGTACATGCAGTGTCTCTGTGAATTGTTTATAAGTACACCCCTATATATTAATGTGTGGAGCGTAGGACAGTAATGCTTCCTTCTTGTGCTCCTCAGCTCCATCTAGTGGCCATAATGTGGTACTACGATGGTATTTTCTTTCCCAGTTGGATGTAATACCACATTACGGCCACGAGATGGCGCTGATGAGCACGGGACATAAATACTTTGCTTGTGCTCCTCAGCGCTTTGTGCTCCTCAGCACTATCTAGTGGCCATGTTATGGTATTACATTCAACCTGAAAAGAAAATACACTCATAACATTCGTTTTGCCATCGTTCACACAGAGTGAATGTGCACGCAATTTTGCAGAATGAACGCCTCTGCAAATTGATTTTAAATAGTCTTTAGATACATTCATGTTCCTAATACACACAAGACACGGGATACAGCAGTCTACAGAGGAAGTGTATCAGACCTCTACACAATGAGATGCAGTCATAGTGACTCCCATTCCTTTGTGACTAGCGGCCCGGGACTCTTTACATTCCAGTTATGGGCCATGGATTGGACGTATGATACCAATGGGATATGTATATTGTTTCTGGTCAGTGATACGGTCTTCTAAGATTTTTAAAATGTATTTTAAAAAGGCACAAAGAGGTATACAAATCCACTTTTATGGCGTCTGACCGGTGATAGGTCACTGAAAATCCACATTAAAGGAAATATTGAAAGTCAGAGCCCCCCAAAAAAAATCTCCCCCAAAAGCTTCTACACTTCAGATTTACTTACCTGAACCCGCTGTGATGTGCAACCTCCCATGGCGGGGATTGGTGATGGTC